CACTACATAATCTCACATAAAGTTGGATCAAAATTGCAATGCAGTCATGTGAACCCGGCCTTACGAACCTTGCACACATCCTGTTCTCAGACAATCAACATCTGCCTTGACGCATTCCATGGTGATTGAATTAAAGTGACCCAGTAACCCATGTGTCTGTAAATACTGGGATATAATCCTGACACTCAGCTGAACTGAAAAAGCTTCTTTGATGAGTAGGGAAATGTCTTCAATTTTACAGAACAAGTCCAGCCAATCGAGTCTAACTACTACTAGCCATTCTGTACAGTATATACGAGACTACAGACCAATATGTAAGACAGCTGTTGCAATATGTGAAGTTGAATCACTATATGATGTCAATGCAGAGAAAGAACTACAGATCTGTCTAGGAGTCATGAGCTTATGGAAAGGCATATACAAACAATACAAGAGAACGCATCAGAAGTGGGAGCTGTGCAATATACTAAATAAGCTGTTCCAGAAAGGAAACAAGCAAAAATAAAAGCACAAGTCTACAAAGGAGAAAGAATTAGATACTGATATTGTGGAAGTGGAGACTCCTGGGGCAGAGATCATCGTCTTGCCTGCGGGCAAACTTGCAGTAAGTGCAAAAAGAAAATCAATTTGTTAGAGTTAGCAAGCAGAGACTAAAGGAAAAGGCACAAATGACCACAGAGAAGGAAAACAGCAGTGCATGTGAATCATGGCTTTCTATTATCAGTTGGTACCCCAGGAGCTCAGTGGTTTGTACCAATAAAACTGAGCACTGGCAAAGAGACAGGCAAATAATCTGTAAACTACATGGTACCCAGTAACTGTGTGGCATCCAAAACGTAATGCAAAATACCACTGTCCTGGAAAGTTTATAGATGGTCAACTCCAACCCTAACATTACAGTGAATGCAAATGAACCACTTGCCTACCATCCTATAGCAGATTTACTGTTACAGGGTAGACGCACTGCTCAAATTCATGTATATATAGGTGATTTTGCAGCTCTGGGTAGGGAGCGTGAGTGCACGCTGCCCTACCCGCGCTGCCATTGGTTGCAGCGGATGTCAATCACCAAGTCCCAGCCAGCGATTCTCGGACGGCACTTGGTGACCGTCGGTGAAGCCTAGAGGGGAGAGATCTGTGTGTAAACAACACAGATCTCTCTCCTGTCAGCATAGACGTGCTGCTTTCTGTATGCACAGCAGAGAGATACAAAGCAGCATGCCTCCCTAGTAAAAAAGCACACAGCACACATTTAACCCTTTGATCACCCCTTGCTGTCCGGTGTCATTAGCACAGTGTCAGTGCTTTTTATTAGCACTAATCACTGTATTGATGTCACTGGCGATATCAGTGGCCGTTATTCCATTCCCACCCAGTGTCAGAATGCCCGCTATAAGTTGCTGATCGCCATTATTACTAGTATAAAAAAATACATAAATAAAAATTCCAGTATATATACCGCCATTTGTAGATGCTATAACTTTCATGTAAACCAAGAGATTTACACATACTGGGAATTTTGTTTTAGCAGAGACATGTAGCAGAATACATTTTGGCCTAAATTTATGAAGAAATTTAATTTTTTTTTCATTGGATATGTTTTATAGCACAAAGTAAAAAAAAAATATTTTTTTTTTTTTCAAAATTGACGGTCTTTTTTATAGCGCAAAAAATTAAAAAACCCGCTGAGGTGACACAATAAAACCAAAAGAAAGCTCTATTTATGGGGGGGGAAAAGACATAAATTTCATTTAAGTACAGCATTGCATGACCGTGCAATTGTCAGTTAAAGTAATGCAGTGCTGTATCGCAGAAAATGGCCTGGTCAGGAAGGGGGGTAAATCCTCTGGAGGGCAATTGTTTTTTAATAACAAACATGATATACTTACCTGCTCTGTGCAATGGAATTGCACAGAGCAGCCGTGATCTTCCTCTTCCTTGGTTCCCCACTGGCACTTCTGGCTTCTCCTCTTCTCTGTGTACCGCTTTAGGAAGCCACTTCTTATTGTGGTACACCTGCAGGCTTGATCCTGAACCGCGCCGCCTGCATCCATAGACACAGACAGCGCAGCCTGGCCCCACCCTCTGTTCCCTCGTCACAGGATTTGACTGACAGCAGAAGTAGCCAATGGCTTCTGTTGCCTCAGCAAAGCCTGTGAGAGCAGGGAGAAAGGAGAAACCGCTACAGACAGGCACAGCGCTGGATTGAGTCAGACCCCAGTACGGTAAGTATAAGGGGGGGGAGGGGGCGAGACTATTTACCTAAACATTTTTTGGACAGCATAACATAAATTTATCAAAAGGAAAAAAGATACAACAAATGGATAACATTGACAGAGGAATCCCTGTAGCACAAATAGAACAGGAAAATCCCCTGTTGAGGAGAAATAGAGCATTCAATAGGAGGACATATTAGGAACATTATCAGTCTGTTTTACCAGAAGCAACCCTCCAAAGAGGGTCTATAACTTTCGGACTTATTTCAACCAGGAAGGCGAGTGGCATCAAGGCACCCAATCCAGCGCATTTCTTGCTATAGTAGTGCCTTGTTCCCGTCGCCTCCCCTGGTAGGAACATGTTTTCTATCTAAAGCTGAAAAAGTCACTTTGGGCATCCTATATTTGTGAAATTTTGCAACATGTCTTCCCAAGGGTACATAAAGATTACCTATTCTCATAGCATGTTTTTAACTGCGTTTCCAAAATTCTTGACGTGTTTTGCCCACGAAAAAAGATCCACATTCACATGACATAAGATACACTACTCCTTTTGTCTAGCACTTTACGAAGTGTTTAGAAACAAATTTGTCTCCATTCGGAAGAATTAATTGTTTTTGATTGCTAAGTAAAGAGCAATATGCGCATTCTTCACAGGGGAAAGTGCCAACGTATTTGCATGGATCACGTCTCTGATCCCTTTATATTCACTTTGTACAAGGGAGTCATTTAGAGACCCTGCCCTTCTATAGGTAATAGAGGGATTCTTACACACCAATTTACCAATAGTTGGGCCTTCTGCCAAGACTGACCAATGATTTTGTAATATTTTTCTTATTTTGACATGTTCATTAGAAAATCTTAAGATGACCCTAACCTCCTCTTTATAAAAATCACATAAAATGTAAGGTGTAATTTTCTCTATATGGAAAGAGGAATGATGGCAACCACACCCTAAGCTACACTGAATGACTTTTCCTCCTCTAGAATCTTGGAGAAGATTCTAGAAGCAGTGAGTGAGGGTGAGGAGGGCTGGTCTGTATACACAAGGGACTCTGGCCAGTCCCCAAGCACTAGGCTTGGCATGGGACCAGAGAAGCCCTTGAGTATGACTGAGCCCACTCAGCTGCGGTGGAGTTTGGGTGGAAGATGTGAGGAAGGTGGGATGCAGGAGCCTGTGAGGGGGCCCAGTGGAAAAGGGCCTACCTACAGGCAGGATGCTGGAAAGGAGGATTGCTCAGCCTCATTGGCCCCCAGAGTGATTTCCACCTGTAGAGCTAGGAAAGGAGCCAGCCCAGAAAAAGGCTGGAGGCAGCCACCTACCTACACCAGTTCACAGGAGAGAGACTGAGTGAGTAATCCTTCACCCCCTGGGCCAGTTAGGTGGAAAAGAGCACTCTGGTGGGAAACCTGATTAGCTCCTTACCTGGGACTGTTCAACTAACTGTGGCAGGAACTGGATCCCCTTGCCCAGGGATTCCCTCAGGCAGCTGGATAATAGGAGGATTTATCTGGGGTCTGGGGTGTTACACTGGGAGAAGCTAGAGAGCTCTCCAAGAAGAGAAACCCTTCTATGGACTTGTACCGAGTTGCTAAGGAGTTTGCCCTCAGTCCACTGTTCCTTGGGCATCCCATACACCCCTTACCCCATCCAAGTTTAATACCCCTAATAAAACTACAAAAAAAAAAACAAGCACAATGATAGTTTAATGTCTCTGTAATGCAAGTGTGAGAAAATGTGTGTTACCTGGCTGTGTAGGACTATAGGGGGACCCAAATCTTCAGCAACTCCTACGGAGGTAGTGCTACATCCACAAAGCAGGCATTGGCATCACTATGGGGGTGCAGACCGCACCCAGATGACATCACTCAGAGGGGTGACACCAGGGTTATCAGCCGTCCATAAAAAATATGGCAGTACCAATGTGACTGGGCTCGGTTTTTTTTGTTAGGCTGGGCGCACGCACAGAGAGTCTGCGGCGCCATGTTTAGATCAACAGTAGCAGCATGGCAGTATTTGGGCACTTGATCAATGCCCACAGTAAGTAAGGGGCCACAGAACAGAGCTGGAATCTCTGCTAATTCACTTCCATGGAGCTCTCTACTCTGGACACCTTGACTCTTCACAGCACGGAGCAGCCGGCACCAGCGTTGTCCTGATCACATACTGAGTTCTGGTGGGGGGACCGCCAGCCTCTGCCCTCTCCATAGAGAGGAGTGCTGGAACACATTGCATTGCCAGAGGGAGGAATCGGGGAACAAGTGTACATCTGTAGAGGTGTTTCATGAATGGATGAGCCTAGGAAGCCAGCATTCTGCATACAGTGTGCTTCCTTCTGTCACTTTTTCCACCTTCCCCTCTACCTAACCTGCCTGCTTATAATGCTCCGTGCACCTGCTAGAAGAATTATAGCCAGGTGTCAGGGGAGGTGAGGGGACCAGAAATGAGTCTTCAGGAGGGAGGGGGGTGTTCAGTTGTCATTGGCGTGTACCTGTCTACTGCCTGTGTCTGTGCTACACTGAGACAACACTGGCTGCATGCTGAGGGGCCACTCACCAACTGCATACACAGCATGTCACAGCACACAGGGTCCCTGATAGAGAGACAGTCCCTCTCCTTCACCCACTACTGTGTATGGCATCACCCAGATCCCTGATTAATAGGGAAACTGCTGGACCCCTGCTCTGCACCATCTATCCATGGTTGCTGGACACTCCTATGCCATTGTGAGCACAGCTATGGCCACAATCTCTGGTTATCTCCTGTAGTGTGTCTGCTATCTCTGACCATCTCCTGTAGTATGTCTGCAGTCTCTGGTCATCTCCTGTAGTATGTCTGCAGTCTCTGACCACCTCCTGTAGTATGTCTGCAGTCTCTGTCCATCTCCTTTAGTATGTCTGCAGTCTCTGGTCGTCTCCTGTAGTATGTCTGCAGTCTCTAGTCGTCTCCTGTAGTATGTCTGCAGTCTCTGACCGTCTCCTGTAGTATGTCTGCAGTCTCTGGCCATCTCCTGTAGTATGTCTGCAGTCTCTGACCATCTCTTGAAGTATGTCTGCAGTCTCTGGTCATCTCCTGTACTGTGTCCGCAGTCTCTGACCGTCTCCTGTAGTATGTCTGCAGTCTCTGGCCATCTCCTGTAGTATGTCTGCAGTCTCTGACCATCTCTTGAAGTATGTCTGCAGTCTCTGGCCATCTCCTGTACTATGTCTGCAGTCTCTGACCGTCTCCTGTAGTATGTCTGCAGTCTCTGGCCATCTCCTGTACTATGTCTGCAGTCTCTGACCGTCTCCTGTAGTATGTCTGCAGTCTCTGGCCATCTCCTGTACTATGTCTGCAGTCTCTGACCATCTCCTGTAGTATGTCTGCAGTCTCTGACCATCTCCTGTACTATGTCTGCAGTCTCTGACCATCTCCTGTAGCATGTCTGCAGTCTCTGACCATCTCCTGTAGTATGTCTGCAGTCTCTGACCATCTCCTGTAGTATGTTTGCAGTCTCTGACCGTGTCCTGTAGTATGTCTGCAGTCTCTGGCCATCTCCTGTACTATGTCTGCAGTCTCTGGCCATCTCCTGTACTATGTCTGCAGTCTCTGGCCATCTCCTGTACTATTTCTGCAGTCTCTGACCATCTCCTGTAGTATGTCTGCAGTCTCTGACCATCTCCTGTACTGTGTCCACAGTCTCTGGTCATCTCCTGTACTGTGTCTGCAGTCTCTGGTCATCTCCTGTACTGTGTCCGCAGTCTCTGGTCATCTCCTGTACTGTGTCCGCAGTCTCTGGTCATCTCCTGTACTATGTCCGCAGTCTCTGGTCATCTCCTGTACTATGTCTGCAGTCTCTGACCATCTCTTGTAGTATGTCAGCAGTCACTGACCATCTCTTGTATCATTCATGTCTGCAGTCTCTGACCATCTCCTGTAGTATGTCTGCAGTCTCTGACCATCTCATGTAGTATGTCTGCAGTCTCTGACCATCTGGGAGGGTGACACCATGCTTTACCACACCAGGTGACACCAAGCCTAGTGACACCACTGAAAGCAGGATCTGGATAGCACTAAACATTTACACAGCACTTTACAGTCCCTGCTCTGAAGCGGCGTACAATCTAAGGTCCCAAACTCACATTCATACACACACAGACTAGGGCTGATTTACTACCAATATGTCTTTGGAGTGTGGAAGAAAACCCAAGCAGGGAGAACATGCAAACTCTGTTGGGATTCAAACCGACAACCATAGTGCTGCTAAGCAAAAGTGCTCACCACTTAACCACTGTGCTGCCCATTAGTAAACATAATTGATTTGTAACAATGTAACATCTGGATTCCTCCCCATGCAGCACACCTGTTCAGATACAGATGAGGAGAATGTTAATTAACTTTACTGTTTATTCGGTACAGTACAGATTCTTTAACCCCAGGGTGCACAGCATTTTAAAGAGCGAGGTCCACTTAAGTGATTTGTTAACCGGTCGTGAGCCACAATTAAAATGAAATGGTTCAGAATTTCACATTTTTCATTTTGAATAGCATAATGAACATTCAGCAGCTGCAGGAGCAAAATGGAGAGGATCGGTTCCTGTACAAGCCATCCCTCCTGGTCAAGTGTAAAATAGAATGGGACAAGGAAGCTGCACAGGCCCCGGCAGGGTCGCCATTGTGACCCCTGATGCTACAGTAGTGGTTTGGGGGGGGTAAATACACATCTTATCTATGGGGTTTTATTAACCCCCCAAAATTGCAAATGTGCCTGAGACTTTAAAGCCCGGAGCCCCCTATAACGCTGCTTTCACACTGATGATTTACCTACACCGTGGGTGCACCTGTGGCTCTCCTGCAAGTTAGCTGCACTTTGCCATAGACTTCTATTATATCTTGTGTGTGTAGCACACTATCAGAAAGTGCAGCAAACCTGCAGGATATAATAAATGTCTATGGCTCAGTGCAGCTAACCCATAAGAAACCTGCAGGTGCACTGCGCTGTGCCTGTGGATTAGTGTGAAAGCAGCCTAAAACTTGTTAATACATTTATAGGTGCTAATATGCCCATTGCAAAGGCGCAGTGTATGTGTTGTTTAATACACTGACCTTCTTTTCCTCTTCTGCTGGCATCACTCTCCAGGCTGCTAGAAAGGTTCCAGGAGATGTGCACTAGGTATCACTCCACCTGAGACAAGAGGAAACATCCACTTATGCAGCTCCTGCTCCCTCTGCGGCCTCCTGCTTCCTGTATTAACTCGATGCACTCTGATGCTCTGGGATGGCGGGTTGGGAAGCCTAGATCACAATCAATGGGCTGTTGACCCCGGGCATTCGTTTCCCTGGTGTAAGCTCAAGGGCCACACCAGAGAGCTCAGAGGGTCACATGTCACCTATGGGCCACAGGTTAACCATCCCTGCTTTAACCTAAAGTACCTGATAAAATTTAGAGAACATTATTTAAGCTTCATTTGGGCTCCCAATTACAGTATTTTTATGCCAAATAGGATTCAGTAAGAATGCGAAGTGTAGTGCTACCTCTGGATTAGTTTGGGTCCTCCTTCCACTTCCAATGACCCAACCTAAACGTAGACCTTACAATCACAGACACACCAACACCTGGTGTTACAAAAGGATTGATAACAAAAACCCATAGTTGTGGAGTGTACACTAGCTCAAACTAGAGCCACATTTGTACAACTTTGTAAGTCCAGGAGAGGAATATTCCAGGGCATGGCCAATCTGCTTCTCCTGATGAAGTTTAGATATATTTATAGCGACCTCCTAGGCAGCTAGGGAGAGCTAGATTCTAATTTTTAGATAGGGGTTGAGTTGCAGCCCAGGTATAACAGTCAGAGCAGAGTCAAATTTTGGCCAATGGCTGAGAGGCTCTGCAGACCAGCTCTCTGGGACTTCCCCCTGCTCTAGAATCTTGGAGAAAATTCTAGAAGCAGTGGGAGGGAGTGAGGAGTGGCTGGTCTGCACTCTCAAGGAATCCTGGCCAATCCCCAACAAGAGGCTTGGCTTGGGGCCAGGACAGCCCTTAAGAGTGTTTGAGCCTGGAGAGAGCCCAGGTAGGAAGGGGTTCACCTACAGGCAGGGAAGCTTGAAAGAAGGAACGCTCAGGACTTCACTGCCCCCAGAGAGAGGACCACCTATGCAGCAGGGAAGGAGTGGCCCAGCAGAATGCCTGAGAGCAGCCACCAACCCAGCAGCAGCATAGAAGGATTGAGTGATCAGACTGTCACCCCCTGGGCCAGTAAGGGGAAGGAGCACTCTGGTGGTAAACTGGATTAGCTACTACCCAGGACTGTCTTCTCTTAAAGTGACAGGCACTAAACGTTTTGCCCAGGGTTTCCCCCAGAACAGCTGGATAAGGAGTATCTAGGGTTTGGGGTGGTACTACAGGAGATTCTGGTTTGCTCTCCAAGAAGAAGGATCTATTTTTTTTTTTTTTTCGCTGTTAAAGAGACTTGTACATAGTTCAGGAAGACTGTCCTTTGTTGCCATTACCCTTTGGCATCCCATACAACCCTTACCCCATCCAAGTTCATATTCCCCTAATAAAAATCCAAAAAACAAGCTCAAGGACTGGTCACTGTCTCCTGGATGAAAGTCTGAATAGCAAATGCATGTTGTCCGACTGTGCAGGACTATAGGGGGGCAGAAAATTCAGCAACCCCTAAGAGGGTAGTGCTACCTATATAATATAAGATGTAAGCTTTGCATCTAGTGTGAACCACTGGAACCTAGATAGTGGTCTGAACTTAAGGGCATAACTACAAATCATGTGGCTTCATAGCAGAATGTTAACAAGGAGCCACAGTTGTAAAGCCTATAGTACTGGCGTCAGTATAAATATCCTAATAAAGCCTTCATTACATCAGTAGTTAGTTACATACTCCTTAATATTGATAGTCAGAGGCAAAAGCCCCTTTATATTCATGGTTAGTGGCAAAAAAAATGATTTCCATTTGTGTTTTGGTAGCGATGAGTTAGGCCTGATTTAGACGGGTGCTGACCCTTGCAGACCATAAATGAGTGCCTTATTTATGCATGTTGGCTTCCTCATTGAATTTCAGTTATTTCTAACCTACTCCTTAATTTGAGCAATCCCCACATATTTACTTCCTTGAATCCTGTGACACGTAGTCACTATGCCATGTGAGTAGGCACTGCTGTGTCACACATTTCACAGCGCCTACCTTCTGAACTACAAAGGTGTTGAGGGGAGGAGTTTCAGGAGGCTGAGTCAGTACAGGAATCACAGATTTCAGGCAGCAAGGTACCATGGGACATGTAGTCCTTAGAAATGGAAAGTAAACAGCAGAAGAGAAGCTGCAAAGCATGAAGGGAATCCAATAAGTTGTGGAAAGAGTTGACCAGAAGACAGGCTACACTGACAGCATGAAAGGAGATTTTTCAAGTAAGGCCCCTTTCACACAGGACGGACTCTGCCTGTGTTCTGCTTGCTCAGCAGGGGATCTGTTCTGTTGATCCCTGCTGAGCAGGCAGATAACTGGCCCATTGTGTAAGAAGTGTAAATTACAACTTGAAGAAGAAAATGATCGCAGTGTTTCAAAATCTTACTCCATATTCATAGGATAGGATACATGGTCTATGCCAGGACATACGTTGTACTTGCTGTAGATATCCATAGAGAAAATGTAAGTCCGGCACCACCATACCAGGCCACATGCCTCCAACATGTGGGGGTGCTTCGGGGTAGGGAGGCTGCTCCCCCCCCAAAGCACCTTGTCCCCATTTTGATGAGGACAAGGGTCTCCTCCCCATAATCCTGGCCGGTGGTTGTGGGGGGTGATTTATCAGAATCTGGAAGCCCACTTTAATAACACCCTCCCCTATATGAATGAGTATAGGGTACAAAGGAACCATGCTGACAGCTGATGAGTCATCGGTTGTCAAGGACACGGCGGCAGCCAGCTCCTTAACGACCATGATGTTTACTGTTTTCTAAAGATGCCGGTGGGTCTCTGCTCCTTAACAACCAGTTTTTTCACACAAAGGAAAAAACGCAAAATGCCATAAAAAAACACATCAAAAACAGATGTAAAAAAAAAAAAGCAAAATGCACCTGGATAATGCATCAACCACAATCTGCATAGATGTGAACCTAGCCTTGCTGTGTTTTTCTGCTTCTTCATCTTCTATGAGCTCCCAATCCTCTTCTTTTCCACCCACTGCCATTTGCTTGGAACAAGCAGTGCACATTAGTTTTGGTCATGTGCACTGCTCTATGCATACTACACAATACACATCCCATAGCCCATAGTCCATCTCAGGTGCAAACAAGAGAGGGTGGCTATGTTCTTACACACGGATGGATCATGGAGAACAAACATAGCCACCCTCCAACAGGAAGTCAAATCACAGCAGCAAAAAAAAAAAAAACAATTTGCAGATTTGGAGGAGTCTGGGAACAATAAACAGTGTTTTTTGAGTTAAGAATGCAAAGTTCAATAAAATGAGGGGTTTTTTTAAAATTAAAGTTAGTGTCACTTTACCTGCTGCAATGAAGCTACGTCAAAGACCTGGTTATGCTATTTGGAAGGGGTTCCTGGATCACAAACCTGGCTGAACAGAATTATAAATATTTGAGATAGTCAGTTCACATATTTCTATCTCAATTGTGTATTTAGCTGCATGCCTGGAGTTGAGCTTTGAAAACAACATGTACATCATGCACAGCAGTCTTTACCGAAATACAATGATCTGAAAAGCCTTTGCTACCTTGTTGGAAGACATGCTCACCGACATACAGATTAAACCTCTTCTATGTATTATTCAGCTCTGACTTCTCTCATCATTACAGGATTTACAGATTGCAACAAACCTTCCAGTCTAATTGTAAGAAGTTTTAGTGCAGCTAGCGAGTCAATGCACATACGAGAATCCGCTGAGTGAATCGCGGCCCTCCGCAGGCTAAGGTGATATATTTTGGGAGCGCTGAGAAGGCGCGGATGATGAAATATTTATG